TACACTTTTGTTATACTGGTGACAATGGTGTACCGAATATACTACAAATGAACTTTTTGCAACTCTGGTTTGGTAGCCGACTGGAAAGGGTTAATTGAGAGGTTTTTTCCATCGACGTTTCGATTTTTAACTACGTCAAGAGTTTAACTTTAACTTTTAAGTCTGGGTTAACTGCGTCAAGGGTTACTCGTGAAAACTGTACTCACACGTCTGGAACATCCTAGTGCTGATATTGCAGGCAAAATAGATATACTTCACTTATCCTGTGGAAAAAAGATAATATCGACATTCTGAAATTATAATTTGAAATTCTATATCTTTTGAAATTCAGACAATGCTCACATTCTGGGATTTTGAGATTCTGAAACTTTTGAACGTTTGAAGTTCTAGAAGTTCTACATCTATGAAATTCATAGATTCTTAGATTCTTGGATTTCTGAAATTCTTGCAATTCTACACATTCTGAAATTCATAGAATGCTTACATTCTGAATTCTCAAACTTCTGAAATTTATGAACCATCGATATTTTGAAGTTCTCACTAGAAGTGAATGTCAAGAATTTGAGAGTGTGACTCATAAGCTATCATTATACTGTATGATGATAATTTGACAGCCCTCGACTTTGATATTCATATGTTTGTATTTTTTGAACACCAAGGCTTACACAGAGAAGTTTTTTGATATTCTAAAAGTCTGCTGTGAGCGCTTCAGCCGTCGTACAGATCTATCTAGTTTATTACACAGGTGCAAAGGCTGAAAACGATAGAAAAAATAGAAGTGAATCAGCGAAACGACTTGCAGACGAATTAGATTACCAAGCTCTAAAATTAAAGCAAGAGTTAAGTATAAATGGTGCAAAATTAAATCGTAATATATTCAAGGGGGAAACAGCTGATTTTGGGATTTTTTCGATTTTCGTCGATTTTCACGGGCTTTCATTGATTTTCACGGATTTTCAGCGATTTTTTCCGATTTTCGGTGATTTGTTTGGGAAATCAAGTAAAAAGACTGCGATAAATAGTGCAGAACCTCCTTTGTTTGTACAAAATAGTAATTAGACATAGTGGAAGTAAAGAAAAAAAGCAGGAGCGATTTTTAGAGATTTTTAACAATATTTAGCGGTTTTTAATGATTTTTTTGCGATTTTAACCGATTTTCGATTTAAACTGGTTTTTCAAGCTCAAAAATCAGCTGTTTCCTCCTTGAATATATTACCGGCATACAATTCATTAAAGGATAAAAATCTCAAGCGCCATTTCAAAAAAGAGAGTGTAAGAAGCCATTTAATGGAAGTTGGCTGGGTAAGGAGCAAAATAAATTGAAGTATTTTAATCGAAACTTAACTGGACATTGCCGTTCAGTTCGATACATCTGGTAATCCTACTTCGGAAGCTGAATATCAAGGGAAATTAGCTAAAGAGAAGGAGAAAATGTACCGTAATCAAAAACAATGACAAAACATTTATTTTAGGTAATTATAAACAAGTAACTGTTACTACCCAGGCACGAAAAGTTGGCCCTAAAACTCGTTAAATGTTTCATTTTAAACGAAGAAAAACGCGTTTCGGGATCGAGTCTGCAACTTCTGCATCGTTTCAGAATTTTCGTTAAGCCAAAGGTGAGACTTGACTACCCAGTGGACTTGATCCAAAAATAGTGAAAATCTGTAACAAAGGAAGTACAAAACTGATGATCTAAAATTGAAAACGAACGAAAAGACGATGATATTACTTCCATATTTCGATTGTGCTTCTATAGTAGGCTGACCGCAAAGCAAGACGGTGAATCATTAATTGCGTTTTTCAACCGTTAAAAACGCGTGAGAACGGAAAATGAAACAAACATTATGAAACGCGTTTCTGGCACGATTTAGGTGTTGCAGACTCGATCCCGAAACACGTTTTATTCCATTTTTAAGGATCAAAAAGTGCGTTAAAGATTTCATCTGCAACGCGTTACGAAACGCGTTCTAGAAAGTTTGAAAACGGTTTTTTTGTACGTTTTTAACGCAAATGTAACGTGTTCAAAAGACTGTTTTAACGCCTTTTTGAAAAACGCGTGAGAACTGGAAGTGAAACAAACGTTCTGAAGCGTGTTTACACGCGTAGTATCCCATAGAAAACGGGCCAAAAAGCGAGATTTTGGTCAGGCATTTTTTTGCTGTGTCTAACGATTTTTTTGGTCTGGGTACCACTATTCACATCTAAAGCTGGTTTTGTATCTATTTTGCGTAGAGCAGTTGATACTGGAAGAAGAAGATTTGAACAAGACTATGAGTTTGATGAAAAAAGGTAGCATACTGAACGTACCCAGGTACGAAGCGTTTTTACTTACTAATCATTTATATGCGATATTTATTCACTATGCTGCATCTTCATGTGTCTATTTGACATTCATATAGAATGAACATAGTGATACACAACGTCTACAACCAAATTTTACTGATATACAAGAGGTATTTTTACTATTATCATGATATGTTCGCATAGACCTCTGTGGTAATTTATTTTCTAGATGTCTTTCATTGTGTTTTAAGGCAGTACGTAAACGTGGGATAGCCATAGTGCATGATATGTACAAAAAAAAACCAAAAGAAGTAAAACATGGACAAGATTTTTCGGTCATCTCCTCTTATGCATCATCATCGAATGCCGTTTACAGAGCCTATTAGTCCATTAGATTTTCTTGAGGACGAATATTAATTTAGAAAGTATTAAAAACCTATATAAAACATAAATTATACAGAGACACACATACTCATTTTACTTGCCTATTCCAACCAGCTTTACTTTCGTATTTGAAGATCTAAAAATGTTGTTCTTCTTCATCATCCGGATATCTGATTGTTATTAATCTTTTATTATTTGAAACAAAATCTCAAGCAGCCATTTGGCCTTGATCTAGAGTGAAGACTGCACCAATGAAAAAACGTTTATAAAAAGAATAGTCAAGAACACGTTCTAAGAAAAAAAGAACACGTCCGAACGCATTCCACCTACCGTGTGATTGACCATATATAGCTGCGATCGGCACAACAATGGCAATGATAGCTATAACACCTACTACACTTAAAGCTATCAGCAAACATTTTTTGGTTAACCATCTGGATGAATAATCAGATAAAAAGAAAAATTTAGGCGGTGTATGACATAATAAAGAACGTACGTAGATTGTTGACTAGGTACTGTACGGAGTTGGCTTTGTTTTAAAGTTATGGCAGATGGTGATATACTTTTGCCTGACCTTGCCTACATAAAATAACGATGCATATTGAGAATAAAGCTGTGTTTACTTCACTTACAGTTTGGTGCGTCCCGTCACTTCTAGCTGAAGAATTGGTCGAGATCGGTGACTTTAAGATCTGATATTGTTGTTCGGGGGTAGTGGGTAGTGTACGTCACAATGGTGATGTATACTATACAGGAAAATGAGCGGCTCCTGCCCCACAATTCCAGGTTCGCTCTGACCCGGAGTGATAGTACCTGTAAGGGTCCCTTGCCTAGGGTCACAGGTGGTCTTTGGAAGCTGGCAAAAAGATGATGTTTGAGTTATGCGGAAGAACTGTCATAGTATGGTCAACAGATATCTCAAGCACGCAGATGGCAGATGAACTCATCTACAGGGTCAATGGCATACTGTAAAATAGAGCTTAGGAAGCGCTGTTCTCAAAATGGTCTGTACAGCTGGCGAGGAAAGCAACGGGAAACTACCTCGTCTTTTTTCCCTAGACAAGGCACATGAATGACAACAATTAGGAAAACAAACGCTAACGACGTTAACGGGACCTCTGGTTCAACCAGAGATGTCGCGTCCGGCAGAGGAAGTAACAAGGCTTCCAAGGTCGTCATCCGGCGAAACCCTTGCGAAACGCTGAAGATCGGTACCTGGAATGTGAGATCAATGTTGAAGAAGGAGAAGATTGAAAATGTTAAGACAGAGATGGCAAAAAATAACCTAAATGTGCTGGGATTAGCAGACGTGAGATAGAAGGAACAAGGTGATTTCTGGTTAGAGAAATACAGGATCATTCATTGTGGTAATGCAAAAGGAGGTGCAAATGGTGTGACTATTATATTAGATGAGAAAACAGGAAAGCGAGTCAAGAAAGTGGTTCAACACAGTGACAGACCCATACTAGTGAAAATAGAGGCGGAACCAGTGGATATCGTAATAGTACAAGTCTATATGCCTACTTCAGCAGGTGACGACGAAGAAGTGGATAAAGTTTATGAGCAAATTGATGAACTAGTTGCAATAGAAAAAGCCAGTGACTATTTAATAATCACGGGCGATTGGAACGCTGTAATTGGTGAAGGCGTTGATGGAAAGGAAGTTGGCAATTTTGGACTGGGAAAGAGAAATGAAAGAGGAGAGAAACTAGTAGAGTTCTGTAGAGAAAAGAAATTGATGGTGACAAACACCTGGTTTATGCAAGAAAAGAGAAGGAGATACACGTGGAAGAGCCCTGGCGGAAAAGATCGGTACCAATTGGATTACATTCTGGTAAATCAAAGATTCAGCAATAGCGCGAAGAAGTCATGTAGTTATCCAGGAGCAGATGTTAGCTCAGATCACAATTTGGTTATGATGAAAGTAAGAGTAAAATTAAAAGTACTCAAAAAGGCCTCGGTCCGTAGAAAATGGAATCTGGAGCAATTGAAGCATGATAGTGGCGGTTTTCGGAGGGACGGAAATCGATAAATGAAAACTGGAATTATTTGAAAGAGAGTATCATAGAAAGTGCAAAAGTAACCATAGGATATGACCCTAGGACAAGAATTAAGAAACCATGGATAACCGATGAAATGATAGGAAAAATGGAAGAGAGAAGGAAATGGAAAGGTATTAATACTGAAGATGGAAGAAAAATGTATCGAAAATTGAATAATGAGCTCCGGAGGATTACTGACAAGGCAAATGAGAATTGGTGGAAAAGGGAGTGCAACGAACTTGAGTTGCTTAACAAACAGGGCAAAGCAGACTTAGTATATTCGATGGTGAAGAAGCTGACAGGTAGCAAGAAAGTCCAAAGGAATATTCATACGATAAAGAATAAAGATGGCGCGCTACTAACAGATCCGAAGTTAGTGAGACAAAGATGGAAAGAGTATATTGAAGAGCTGTACGACAAAGATGGTAAGCCCACGGAGGAAGAGATATTTTTAGAAAGCGAAATGGATGTCGAAGTAGATAACGTAGGCCCTGGAATTCTGGAAGACGAAATTGAAGCAGCGATAAGTCAAATGAAAGACAAGAAAGCAGAAGGAATTGATGAAATACCGGCAGAACTGTTGAAGAAACTTGAAGGTAGTGCTAAAAAGGAATTGATACGAATATGTCAGGATATGTATGAAAAAGGAGAATGGCCAAGAGATTTCACCAAAGCAATAATTGTCACGATGGAAAAAAAGCCAAATGCAACAGAATATGCTGATCACAGAACACTTAGTCTGATTCCGCATGCTTCGAAGATAATGCTGAAAGTGCTGGCAAAAAGATTGGAAGCCAAAACACAATATTTCATTGGTAAAACACAGTTTGGTTTCAGAAGAGGATGCGAAACGAAAGAGGCAATCGGCGTCATGCGTATGCTCTACGAGAGATGCTTGGAACACGGCTTGGATGTTTTTATATGTTTCGTGGACTTTGAGAAAGCCTTTGATAGAGTAAACTGGAAGAAACTGATGGAAATATTGAAGAAGATTGGAGTTGATTGGAAAGATCGAAGGCTCATCAAGAATTTGTATCTAAATCAAGAAGCTATTGTAAGAGTGGCAGACGGAATGTCAGAACCGGCAGTAATTGGGCGTGGAGTAAGACAAGGCTGCCTGCTTTCGCCGTTACTATTTTCAATCTACGCTGAAATGATGATGATAGAAGCGATGGAAGATGTCAGTGCAGGAATCAAAGTTGGAGGTAAACTACTGAAAGACGTAAGGTTTGCAGACGAACAAGCAATGGTAGCCAGCTCAGAAGAAGATTTGCAGAAGTTGATGGACTCACTTGTTAAATCTAGTGAGAAGTTTGACATGAAGATTAATGTTAAGAAGACGAAGACGATGGTAATTTCAAGACAATGTGGTAAATTGGTTAACATTATTATTAATGGACAAACAGTAGAGCAAGTGACAAAATTCAGATATCTGGGAGCTTTAATTACTGAAGATGGAAAGATGTGCTGCTGAGATAAGAGCAAGAATTGCAATGGCAAAAGATGCTTTCAATAAACGCAGAGAACTACTCACGCGAAGAATGGACAGAAAGTTGAAGAAAAAGATTATTAAAGCGGTGGTGTGGAGTGTAGCACTTTATGGCTCTGAGACTTGGACGATAATATCGGACGAGATGAAACGATTGCAAGCTTTTGAGATTGGATATGGAGAAAAATGGAAAAGATAAGTTGGAAAGATAAGAGAACGAATGATCAAATTCTGGTGCAAGTGGGAGAAAAGAGAAAATTGCTAGGAGTGATAAAGAGAAGAAAGAAAATGTGGATTGGTCACATTCTAAGAGGAAATGGTCTTTTATTGGATGTAAAAGAAGGTAGAATCGAAGGAAAGCGGCCACAAGGAAGAAAAAGAAAAATGATGCTTGATGATTTGAAAGAAGGAGACATAAATGCCCACAAAGTGATGAAAGAATATGCTCAAGATCGATTATGTTGGAGAAATTATATGCCTGAAACCTGCCCTAGGGCAGAAAACCAATGATGATTGTTGTTCATGAGAAACAATCTGTCGTTTGATAGGGTGAGGAATATACGATTGATTTCGTTCACTACTTGATGGCATCGTTTATTTAGTGTGTTACTTCGACTTTGTACACCTATATTCATTCGTGTTTTGTAGAACTCCCTCACTATCTGCGCAAAAGACGGAGTAATTGTTTTATACCCCAAAACCGTTGGTTTTCAGGATAAATTTACCCCTTCCCCCCTCCGTGGAGGACATAACCTCTTAAAGTGACAGTCACAACGTCTTAAAAAGGCGCACTCAACTTCTTAACTTGACTAGATGTCTCAGTATTGGGAGTTCCACCTTTTAGCACATTCAAGTACTACCCTATCAAGATTTTCTTTTATGTTTTATACCACTGTATCGAATAAATAATGTTTGTATTTGTTTTGAGTAGGAGAAACTGCATACATTGAGTGTAAAAGGATTATAAAGTCAATATCAAAACAGAATACTGAAATGAAGTGAAATGGCTAAGGAGAGAAAATTTCAGCGTAAGTTCTATGGAAGATAGGTTAAGGGGGGGCTTACCTCCCCTCGACCCCCGATTTTTTTTCGGGCATCTTGTAGAGAATTTAAAACTGCATCTACCCTCCAATTTTTTCTGAGTTCGGCCGGGTTTTGACGGAGATACAGCCTTCACAATTCATGTGGCCCACATAAACCCCTTAGGGGTATTCACTATAGAAAAAATTTTCAAAGTCAGAATTTAAACCTTATTTGTATATGGTTTTATAGAGCATTCAAAGTTGTATATATCCTAAAATTTTCATAAAGATTGAATGCATAGTTTTTGAGAAAATGTTCGTTTACCGACTAAGTGGCCTTTCGCTTCTCCAATAGTATTTTTTTAAGCCTTGCACGCGATATCAGACATACTAATAGGTTGCATTCAAAATCCGTTCGGGCCAAAAGATGCGCCATAAAATTCTGGGTGTAGTGAGTGATTTAGATTTTTTCTTAGACAACATGTCGAAAGAAAAGCGCCCCCATAAAATACATGTGAAAATGGCAATGTATGAAAAATATGCTTTTTTTGTCTAGCGTCTTTTTTAGCGTATTTATCGCTTTTAAAGAAGTAGATCATTTTATACTATATGTCATTGGATAGACCATTTCATAAGCAATAAAATCATATATAAACTCATCAAAAAATACTACACCATCATAATAAAAAAAAACAATTATTTACCAATTATTTACTGATACTAAAATGTGCATCAATCTATTATTAAGTATACTACGAAAACTTTTCGAAAACTCTTTCTTTTTGCTTATAACTTGTACTTTTTGTTACAGAGATATTCTGTTGCGAGTCCAAGAGATTACTCTTAGTTACAGAAATCGAGTCAATAGGTGAATAAGGATGTATATATCGAAATCCAGCCTGCCCCATGATGCAAATTATCTATATTGTCTATACATCAGTATTTTTACTTTTTTATTTGTAAAATAATCGAATAAGCTAGGTGTCGCTCTTCTCGTTATGAATGGCTGATTTCAAATGCAATTTGAGTCCGTTGATAATTGTGTGAAATAGAACTTTAGTAATTATCAATAAGACATAATATAATTAAATATGTAGTTTGCTGTGCTCACCAGTAAAGTAGTGTAATTATTTTTCTCTACTTATTGATGATCAAGCAGTTTTACCGACTCATTAATAATGATTAACTGGAAAACATTTTAGCTTTCTTGTAGATTTATTGTTGATGGAAATCGATACAAGTTATGTGCTAAGTGGATCTTTATCTATAGATAGAGATCCATCTATTTTTTCTAGAAAACAGAAAACAAAAACATCAATGAATTTGAAGTCTAAATATAAAAAATCAACAATGTACAGGCGTTTCGGAAAGAAAAAAAGGAAACGTCTTGTTTACGGGAGATTTCGTAAAGAACAATCAATGAAAACAACGTCGTCAACAACGAAATTATTTCGTCATTGAAACAGTAAGGAAAAAGAGTTCCATAGCTAATGTCATTCATTCAATTTCATTGTCCTCAATGTATTATCTTCTTTATTATATACTTTTAGAGTTCCCGAAGCATCGAGTACGTCTAAAGCATCACAAATCTTCGATATGCAACACTTTCAACATACTCTAAATACAGCTCATGTTTGTTCCGATGGCCGATTAGAATTCTCAGCTGATGTATTACCATCGGTTGGATTATTTCATCAAAATGTTTTACGTTGTACGAAATGTAATACAGAAACACCCATGACGAATTTTCCAGTCATATATCCATTTGAATCAAAACAACAGGAACCTAATCAAAGATTAATTTTGGCTGCTGCAACAACAGGTGTTGGCTACCGTGCAATTAAAACAGTTATGTCCTCATTGCCTTTATCGATACAAAGTGAAAAATCATTTTTACATCAATTGCACAAGCATTATGATGGTTTGCATAATTTTACACAACAACATTTTGAACAAATCATTAAGAAAATCAAGTCTAGGAACAATCATAGAAGCGAGATTATGGATACAACCGTTTCTATTGATGGGACATGGAAACGTAGAGGACACATATCTAATTTTGGCATCGTTTACGTGATCGATGTTCAATCAGGTTTATGTATAGATTATGAAGTGCTGTCTTTATTTTGTGAAGCTTGTATTATGAAACAGTCAAAATTATCAAGAACTAAATTTCTCAAATGGTATAAGAAGCACAAGTCATTCTGTAACAAAAATTATGATGGAACATCAAAATCAATGGAAAAGGAAGGTACTAGAAGATTATTCGAAAGATCATTAGAAAAGGGTCTTCGATACAAGTATATGGTTTGTGACGGCATGCATCAGCATTTGAAGCAATTAAATATTATTATGTTGAACAATATCAACAACAAGAACAACAACGAATTTATCTAGGACAAGGTAGATTAGTCTTAATAAATGAATATCACTATAAACGATGCTAAATTTTGAAGGTACCGATCATTCGGAAAATGATGAATCTTCCGAAGGTGGTGTTCATTCGGAAGACGATGAATCTGCCGAAGGTAATGTTCATTCGGAAGATGGTGATTATTATGAAGGCGATCATCAATTACAAGATGATAGTGTACCTAGCAAATTGATAGTGGTAAAAGAAGATTGCATCAATCACGTTGGGAAGAGGGTAATGAAGTATTTACTCGATTTAAAACGAGATAAAACTCGACGAATATCAACCACAAAAGAAGCCTCAACAAGTTCTACATCGACAGCATCCAAGAAAGAATCAACAAAACAACAACTACTTGGTGATAACAAAAAATGGGGTAGTGGTGCCGGTCGTATGACGAACAACATGATGAAAAAGTTATCTAATAGTTATGGTCTTGCTATAAGACAAGTTAGTTCACTATCATCAGGTAAGAAATACAAAAAATATTATTAACAATTTATATTTTTGCGAGAAAACTTTGATTACTTATTTACATATATCTGTTTAGGTAAAGAACTCAACGAAGCATTAGATACTATGCAAAAAGCTTGTCTAGCTGCGTTTTATCATTATATAAAGACAAGTGATAATAATGAAGAAGAACAACACAAGTATTGTCCAAAAACAGATGACAGTTGGTGTTTTTATCAACAAACTAAAATGTCGAAAGATAAAAATAACAACGTAAAACAGAAAAAGAAACACGATTTTCTTGATCCAATCTTCCGAGAAATCCTGCAACCCATAATACTCAAATTAACGTGCAAATCATTACTACGTCGTTGTTTACGTGGAATAACTCAAAATTCAAACGAATCATTAAATTCTATCGTTTGGTAAGCATATATATAGTTGTTTTCTTTTTTGAGATTTCCTAATATACATTAGCCATTCTCTTCTTTTTTTATAGGAGCATATTGAGCAAATCGAAACATCACGAATTTCGATCCGTGAGAGGTAGTGCTGCTCCTGCAGCAATGCTTTTCAACTCTGGTAGCAGTATTTTGATTGATTACTTTAATGAATTTGACGTTAGCAAACCATTATTTGAGCATCTGATAACCAAAGATAGAAAAAGAATAAACAACTCGTCACACAATAGTGAACAACGACAAAAACGAATCGAACAAAAAGGTTCTGATAGGCAAAATGCAATAACAGCTAAACATGATTTAAAGGATTACAATCCTGGTGCTTTTGATTTGTGATACTTCTGTTTTTTCGATATTGAAATAAAAATGATCGTGTCCTAACACATTTTAATTGTAAAACAAAATTTGATTGATAATTGGCCACCATAACCTGGTATTTTTTGATGAGTTTATATATGATTTTATTGCTTATGAAATGGTCTATCCAATGACATATAGTATAAAATGATCTACTTCTTTAAAAGCGATAAATACGCTAAAAAAGACGCTAGACAAAAAAA